AACTAGTTTTTTGAAGATTGTATTTCTGATAATTGAACATTTATAGGTACGTTTAATATGTATTTCTCTATTCCAATCATTTAAATCTCATACCATTCGAGAAATTGAAATAATAGCACACGGGTGATGCTTTTAATTATTATCAAGGAATGTAATATAATATATTTTCTAAGAATCGGTTAGGTAACTAAGACGAAACCTCTTATAACTTGGGCAAATAAAAAACTATCTCAGACTTCTGTTAATGTTGTATTCGGCATTAGCATGTACAACCTTCTTAAAAATGCCAATGTCGTATTCGGCCTTTAAGTTCATTGATAAAAAAAAAAAAAAAAAAACATTTTTTTCCATGTCTCAAAGTCTCTAATTAACTTTCTTGAGGTCTCTATCGTTATTCCCTCTTCTTCGGACCAAGATATGTTCCCGGAAAGACCTTAACTTTTCCCATGGATCTATGGGATAAATGGATTGCAACTGCTTTCTTATTTTCACTCTATGGATAAAGTGAGTCATGGCTTGATCTAAAAATGGTGTATGCTGCTTCGTGGAGACTTCCCCTCATTTTTGGGGTATCGATGCTCGCTATGATGCTCTCAATTTCCCACTTTATGGAAAACATCAGCAACTACAGGTGCTTGTTGACTTTCTACTAATAATGGCGCTAGAGTCAAATCTAGATCTACATAATCCCCATATTGAATGGGCTGATCAAGGTAAACCTATTATAAAAGAGGTTTAGGGGGCAGGCTTGCTTGGCTTACCCTCAATCCTCTTGTGAGCCAACGAAGGCTAGTATTCCATTTATTTACCTTTTCCTTTCTATTGAATCGATCTAGCCCGATTGGATCATAGATTAGTTAATCTCTTAATCAACCCCTAATGTTTATACTTGTGGACCTGGTGATGGGGGAGTGACCAGCGTCTCTTACTTACTTATCAACGTCCGATAAATGCAAGACCGAAAAAAATAGATTCATTCAACACATATTCTCAGAAAATGAAGTACTTGAGGGCTCATCAGTCGTAGTAAAA